TACCGAAGTTAGGATGCGCCTTTAGGTCGGGGACGCGTTACCTGAAATCACCGCTGAGGCATGGTTGTATAAAAAATTATAATTTGTGCCGCAAAACCTTGCAAACTAAAGAATTTAGAAAACATCACGCGCCTTTAATTTTGTACTAAACTCTAATAAAAGTTACAACAAAAAAGTTTTTTTTTTCGTTGTTTTTTACGCAAAAACATGCTTTCTAAAGGCTCAAGGTGACCACAGTACAGACAAATGATACAGAGTGGCGCTGTTGTCGTATTTAGCTCGGTCTCGGTGGACAGCGGCCCAGGTTTCAATGGTGAGTTTCCCAACTGAGTGTTATAATAACGTTGGTATGCTGACAGAACGAAGCCTCCACGCCCCCGCCACGGAAGAGGACGGCGCCGCGAGGCGTCAAAAAGGGATGACGTATGCCTCACATGATGCGAGATCCGCGGAGGAAAGTGGCATATTTCTCCTTCGAGTGGATACCCCATATGGAGGGTAGAAAAAGTGTTCGCGAGATTTACACCCTAGGCTACACCCTCTCAGCACGCTTATGCCGAGCAATAGAAAATTTAAATCGTAAAGAGAATGTTGTTGTATAAAGCACCCTTTCTTTTCTGAGGGCTAAAAAAGATTCTACGGTAAAACTAAGCGAACACCCTTTTTGAAGAATGTTCACCACATTGACACCAGTTTTTCCATAGCTTTAGCGAAGGTTGGTGTAGTTACCATATCGGACAATCATTGCTTGTACCAATGCTTTTCACTGGTAGGTGATTTCTGAACTTAAATATATTACACTTTACGTGAAATATTGACGAGTGCAAAGCAAATTACTTGAAATTTCTTTAATCGGGAAGACGGTCACCTGCCAATCAGCGTATTTGGGTTGTCGAGTGTCTACGTCTTGATTCCTCTCTCGTGCGTGATTGATTGCGCTTGTATTTGTATTTTATGAGCACGTGGAAGATGCATGTTGTGCTTGTGGCTGGTAAATTTCTTTCTCATAAGACATATTCTGAGAACGCCTGCTATAGAATCTCCAACATTATTTTTAGGGTGTTGCTGTAACACCCTTACCCTGCTGGTTCTGGAACAAAGCTTATTTACACCATGCTTTCAGGATTGTTGGTAGCCTGTAACTATATAACCAAGCCAAGATTCTAATGGACTAGAAAGCCCGTGCAACAATAGCAATGAAATATGCAATCACTTGTCACATTGACGTTGTGTAAAATAAAAGCGTTAAAGGGGTCATGATACGATATCGAGTTAGAATGTTTATAACTTTGCATAGGCATACTGGTCCTAGTATGACCCAAGTATACTCGCACAGATTGCCACGGATTAAGACGCATCTTTGTCGCGGTGAACATGCGCGGATAAAAAGGGATCATCTCTTTCAGTGTTCCCCTCGCAAAGCTTGATGACGTAAGTGTGGGATCGAAACCACCCGCGTGATGAGAGTCGAGTGTGACTCATGGATTGGACACGAGAACTGCGTGAGCGCTCGACTTCGGCACGTTACAATCACTGCGTCAGCGGACGCTCAGGTAGTGGCTCGTGTCCAACCACTGCGGTGATGAGAATATCTGAAATCTAACAGTGCCTGGAAATCAGCACGCGTTTTCTAATTTGCCAAACCCAGCGCGTGTGTATGATCAACGTTGGCGGCATAGGATAGGCACCAGACCACGTGGCCACTTGTTCTGGCTTCGAGTTGAGGGGATAAACGATGCTCATATTTTTCGAATTTTTTTGGCGACTGCCATTGCCTAAAACAAAAGACTAAGCAAGTTGATTCAGTTGTTAACCTTATGGAGTGATTCTAAGTAGTATTTAGAGAAATAAATGGGTCGTTTCAAGGGTCTTTAAAATATACAGAGGCTCCTCATCTTGCCCACGAAATGCCGAGCAAACTTGCTAACTGCGCAGGTAATTCTTCCCTTGACATATTTTTTGTGTCTAAACCTATCTGTTGATTTTTTTTTTATTTTGTATAGTTTTGGGACGGGCACGTTTGTGCAAATATTGTCCGTAGAGGTAAAGATCCTTAAAAAATATTAAAGTTTATACAGCAAATTATTCAACACAGTGGGACACAACAGGCTATCTTAAACTTGTTGTCTCCATCCCTCGTACGCAATTACTACAAGTACCATATTACTTAAAATTCGTTACTTTTTTAGGGAATTTCGGAGTTACCCTGTTACAATGTTGCGGCGGTAAGTTGTGCAATATAATTAAAAAATATTTGTAATGAATTACTTCGATTACTCCCTAAGTTTATATATTATATAAATCATACCATGTTAATTAAAACACCGTGGTCAGTTAATATTAAAGCCAAAGAAAGAGCTCAAAATCATAAACTCGAAATCATCATGCACGTACGAATACAAGCCCCGCATTGGGCAGTTTTAGAAGATCCTTCCGACGCCCCCGATTCCGATACCCGGTTACGGGGAGTTTCAGTGGCTCGTTGCGACGACTCCGACAACAATAACCGATACTCGACCGACACCTTTGAGCATGCATAATATCGTTATCGGAGGTATCGGGAGGATCTGCTACAACTTCCTACTAACGACAGGCTACGGGAACATGGCGCCTCTTTACCTTCGACTCTCTCGGGACATATCCCAGTCCAATGTGGTATAGGTAGGGGGGTGTCAACTGTTTCCCTCTCCAATCGAAAACGCTCACACGCGCACACGCAACAAGCCTGTCAGAGAGATCCCTCATTACATTGGAACGGTCTTCATTGTTTGAGTTACTCCCTCTTTCAAACTTAGGTTATCTACTCTCGGTTGACTCTGTCATCTGTGCCAGAACTTGTAGTTTAAAAGTACAAGGTTGTACTATGTATATATTTTCTTTTCTGTAACGGAGCTTCGCTTTGAATTTTCGCATGGTAAAATGCGCCACTAAAATACTCCTTAAAGGGGCCCTGCAATCATATTTAAACGTCTACATTTTTTTTTTTTTGCGGTTTTTACGTTTTTTGGGGGTTTGGGCAAGCCAGCGGGCACGGAGAGAGTAACTAAATATCAGTGCGTCATATTTTAACCGGAAGACGCGGAAACCTCCTCCACCTACGGAAGCAACCTGCGGTGCCGAAAGCGCGCAATATGTGACGACATCGTGACGTTTTAAGTCCTGGCCTTTCTACAGGTCAGAGCCGCTAAAAGCTTCCTTTTAGTCGAAATACAAAATATAAGTGAAGCGAGCCGTTTCAATTATTTACAATGGTAGTTTTTTTTCCAGTATTTTAGATCAGAACAGAAACAAATGCAGTTTATACAGTCCGAAAACCAGAAATGACCCGTGGACGTACCCGCCACCAAGCGGTAAAAAAGGCGGCGCATACTAGAAAGGTGTAGGGGGATGAGGCACTGGCGAGCGTAGAAAGGTCCCGGATGTACACGGCGGCGCTACAGTCGAGGATTCGACCGGTTCCGAGCGTTCTGAAGGCCTTCGGCGAGCAGCTTTGGCTTGCGGTTTGGCCGTTTCGCGGTATGGCAGCGCGAAGTGGTTTCCTTTCTGAACTTATCTTTACCCCGCGTTTGCTGTCGTTTGTGGCCAATGAAGTGTCATGCCGAATTAGTGTTTAGTCGCGCAGCAAATTAAATGCGAGCCGTCCTGGCTGCCCGCTTCATACAGCATATCCAGAACATGCTTTAGTGGCGCCCTCTCGCGCCGTTGACACGGAGTGCGACAACCGTGAGCGCTCGCTGAGCTCATGGCTGCTCTAGTTCACAGCCACTCAAGCAACCAAGAACGTAATGAAGGAGGTTATTTTTTTATTGTTTTTGTAATTTTAATTTGCCTATAACTTTTAAAATAAAGCGGAGTTCGAGAAAAGAAAAGTTTCATTAAGTGACTACGTTCAGTGCGCTCAGGTTCGGTGCAAATCAAAAACCAGTAAAAAAAAGTCCTTGCAGGTCCCCTTTAAGTAAACATTTGAGCTCTATTCCCTGCAGGCGCCAATTTTTACAGTTCATTTCACGGTCGGCTCCTGTATTCATGCCACCTTATGCACCTTTCCAGCGATTCTCGCCCAGGCGAAAAATGCCGAGTCACTGCACTGCACACGCATGTACGGCGTCTGGCATTCCGCATAGGAGAGCTACTGCGTATGCTTAGAACATACTCCAAAGTCCAGTGGGCAAAGATGACAGCGCACAGAAGGCCATTATTGGAATGCTTTATAAAATATGGGCCCGTAAGTGAATACTTTTTGGTTGGGGGCTTGGGGCTATTGTAAAGAAGGTAAGAACGGAGCGTAATACAGATAGCGCAAATAAACAGTCAACGGGTTTACCTATCTTTTTTTCTTTCTTGCAATCAAAATATTGTGTTCCCGTCTCAGCAAGACGCGGCAATCGGCATATATCCTGTTCGCGCTAAATGTGTACCACGGTCAGATTAGAACCAGAAGAACACAGTCCAAATACTTTACTATACTCCGCGACAACTTTTCTTGGCAATGCAGTGAAAGGTACAGGCCTGCGTTCCCTCTCCCATTTTGAGTTTGCGCGGGCTCTCTTCCTCTCCCCGGAAGTGGGGAGAGGAGGAGAGCCTGCGCACACTCAAAATGGGAGAGGGAACGCAGGCCTGTACCTTTCACTGCATTGCCAAGAAAAGTTGTCGCCGAGTATAGTACATATTTCGTTTCCTTGAGTGATACTGTCATTGGCCATTCACGGTAGAAGTTACATCGATCGCAATTGACGAAATGACTCATTTCTTCATTACATTTTTATTGCTTTCTTAAAAATAATCTGAAATTTCCTTCACATTCACATCAGTCTACCATATATTTAGAGAATGTTGTGTAAGCAGTCCGAATTCGGTTACGAGTACGTAAAATATTTGCAGTCATGGTAGACAAGAACCCAAGGGCACCTCGCAAAGGATGAGCAACCTTTTATTCCGTGTCCATCGGTTTTCCGCCTTGCAAAAGATTATGTAGAGATGCGCCCTGGATCAAAAGGCAATCAACTGACGGTGTTCACGGCGATGGCTTCAATTTCCACACGTGCTCGCTGCAGAGAGAAGTATGATGCAGTTGAGACTAGGTCGGTGCACGAGTCGAGCAGATTGTTTTAAAATTTCTCAAACACACTGCAGTTTGTTGACATTTTAAAACTTTCTTTGTAAATGACAATGTCCAATTCCGCTTATTGAAGTTTGTTAGAGTTAAGTCATCATATTTCGTCGAAAACGCTGACAAAGGGTTAGTTCAGGCATACCCTCACACTTCAAAGAGCTAATACACGGGGTGTATTAGAACTCCAGCAATTACTTACCCAAGGTAACTCGGCTGCACGAATGGTGACCCTGGCAGGGGCCTTCTCTGGAAAAACTACAAAATTACGAAACAATTAGAAGGCGTGTCTTTCGAGCGTTTTAGTTGTCGCCGTAAAGAGCTGAGGAATGGCAAGGGTGAGACCTACACTCGGTGTAAACCTTGTTCATGTCTTCGTAATCGTTCATGTCTGCAAGATACACCGTGCACTTCACCACTGAAATTAAACAAAAAAAAAAAGATTAGAATCACTCATTTTGTTGACTATCATATCCAGCAAAGAAAAAAAGCTGTGCTGTGAAGCGCTTTACCTCTGAAGCGTCGTTATTCACATTCGTGCATACTGATGGTCTTATAGACATTTTCCTTTATTCACGTAACCTACAAGTGCATGAAGCATCTGACTGACCTTAGGATTGACATATCGCTAAATTAAACGCAAGCATTGCTAGAGATGTGAAATTTTTATATCAGGTTGTGCATGGTGCTATTGACTGTTCCGAGTTGTTGATGGCCTTGATATGCCGTGTGCCCTCTGGGCGTTCATCCAGCTGCCGTGAAACGTTTTATCGTAACGTGCGATCAATCTGTCGGATGACACGATTGTAACAAACCTATAATGCCTTGTTTCCAGATGATGAATTTTTTTTATTGCTTTTAAAACATGCCTTTATCTTATGTATTCACTCATTGGACTGTGCACTGCCGCCCAGGCCAGTTGGCTGTTGACAGGCACTTAATAAAATTATTTATCTACCGTTCTATTTATCTATCGAGGGGAATGCTGGGAATGCAAAACTTCGCGCCGCACACGCTCTCCTTCCCCGTATAAAAAGGTTCGAAGTAAATAACGAAAAAAAAAGAAAGGCGTTGACGAACGCGCTTGCAAGATGCCATTTGTTTTAGGCTTTTTTGCTTTAGAACAGATACCGCTGGGGTAGACGCCAGCGCTTGAAGCGCGTAGACTTGCATTCTCCTCGATATCTGCCTAATACTGCCTCTATTTACACTCAGCCCACGCTACGAGCTGATGGGACCAATCAGACAGCCTGAAAATCGGCCAATCATGGTGTTAATCATGCTTCCGTACATGTTCTATTATCGCTGAACCAATCCTAAACAAAAAAGGCCCAGGGACTTGCGCATTTGGCGCAGCTTGATTCATCCCATTTCCTCGTATAGCGTCGGCTGCGTCTGGACTTAAACTGACACGAAGTATAGTGCCACTATATAAGCTACGCTTCTGAGGAACCACACTTACCCTTCTTGGAGCTTAAAATCACTGTGGCCAGTTATCGCTAATAGCCCGTTCACACGGCCAGGATATTTATTAATTATTTATTTAGAAGATACCCTGCAGGGCGCCTAAAGATTAAAGCAGGGGAGTGAGTTTTACAATTGATCAATACCATCAGTCACATATCGGTACATCAGCACAGGTAAATACGCTTCAGCACAGTATGCTTCAGTAACTTAAATGAAAATCATCCACACGTTAGCGTGCGTCATCACAAGTTAAAACACGTCAGCACGACACACTTCAAAGATGAAATATTTATCTATTACTTTTAAGAAAACTGTTCACTATCAGCTGATCCCGTATCTGCAGTCAGGCCGTTCCGTTCGGATAACGTTTTCGGGAGAAAAAAAAACAACAAAAAAACTTCAGGAAGTTTGTCCGATATTTTATTTCACTATTTTTTTGCGGTGATCCCTTCTACCTGAGATGTAATGGGGCGTTTTCAGATATACAAATTCGTTAACTCTTGTTGTATGGCTATAAATAGCTTAAATAAGTTTCAGTCTGCTTTTTCTTACGTCTGGTATCAAGAGATTCCATTTCGATAGAAGCTTTCGTTTGTGTGACACATTCTTCCCTCAAGTACTTTTTAAGATAAACCTAACTGCTCCATTTCGTACGGCCTAAGTCTACACGCTCCGTAAACGTACCCTTGAAAATAGGTACCTTTGCAATCGACGAATCAACTCGCTCTTGGGCCGCGAGCACATGCCACGCGCGGAGGACCACTAACTGATTCGTGGTTGAAATAAAGGTCCCATAGCTGAAGGTGCCAATACGACCGTGTAAATGGGGTATAACAAGCCGGTTTTGGTTCCTTTGGCTCGCAGATATAGCGCTGCTGCCCCTTTAACTTTTAACGACACGCATATAAGTTTGCCTAAAATACACACTTATGCACAGTTCCCCGAGAAGCTACAAGGATTATATCAGGACTCACGCGCTTTATTTAAAACTGTGAGTTGTGTTTTTCAACGTTATCGTGAAATGTTCGCACCATTTGTATCTCATGCTCTATTCGTTCTCCACGTGGCGTGACTTACCGTTTTTAAGGTTCATCCCTCCCGCTTCTAGAACCTTGGCAAGGTTCGTAAGAACCTAAAGCGGAGAGTAACAAAGGAAAGAAAGGAAGAAAACGTTATTCTGTTACGAAGCTTGCAACGTCGAGTCAATACAACTTTTCGGCAATCACCCAGGCAAAAGATGCTGAGTCATTGATCTGTGTACGCATGCGCCGTGGGAAAAAGCTACTGCTCATGCTCAGGGTGCGTTCCACAGTACTGTAAACAAAAGTGGCGGCGCTCTGAAGGCGACTATTGAAATACTCTACACTCGTTGTCAGCTCAAGACAAAAGAAAGTTTTCCGCATTGTTCATTCGCCGCGCGAAATAGCGCTTACAAGACTTGGTTGTCGGAGGAAAGAGCGATTATATTGGCATTTTGATACATGTATAGGTCTTGAATCAGGATAAAATAACAAAAATTTATAGCGTTCCTTGTTTTCGAAGTTTATTTTCCTCAAATTCAGAGGCCGAACATCCCGAGTTTATCGAAATTTGCTTTTGTTAGATTCCCAATTTTCCAAAGCCTGGTTGGCCAGTGTTTTCTATTAAAAAGAAGAATGTAAAATATACTATTTGGATGTAAACGTGTTCTAGATGGTTAAAAAAAAAACATTTGTATCACATATTTCTTCGTCTAGATTTGGCATTGGCTCCTTTGCCATGGGCAATGCTAGTCTGTCCCACGACAAAACTTGCAAGCAAATTGCTTCGACAAACGTTCCTACCTTAAAATCACTAAACTCCTGGAGGTAGTCGCTGGAAAGCTCGTTTTTGATCCCATCCTATTCCATAACCCAACACCGCCGCTGCGTAGCGTGGAATGGTAAATTAACATTGAGGCTTTAGCAATAACCCCCCTCCCCCACCATTTCCCTCTTCGGATGGATGGATGGATGGATGAATGCGGCTGAGCCCTTTGGATTGGGCGGTAGCTTATGCCACCTAGCCATTTTGTTTTACCGACAGCAGCGCCACCGCCGACAGCTGCGGTGGAGCTGCTGTCGGCGCATGCGCGGAAGCTTCAGTTCACTCAAATCTGGTTTCCGCGCACGCGCACCACCCACAACCTGCGGGGGGGAGGGGGGGGGGGGGGGGCAGACGCGGGCTTGTTGGTAAGCAGCGTGTTAGCTTATACACATGTTGGCTCCATAGGGACACCCCTTCGACGCAGCATCGAAGCCAGAAATGTAAGCCTTCGTCGTCCGATGCTTCTTTGCGACACCCGAGTGATCGTGGAAAGACTTGCCTGTCGTGTCTGTGGAGCGACTCCTCCAGGAACCAAGCGGTTGGTTTGGGGGTCGTTTCCTGTTTGTCCAGACAAGTACATGGTGTCTCCCACGCGAATTGCCTGACTGTTGTTGGAGGAGAGGAACACAATTTTATGAGGTTACGCAATATGAAGGCACGGGGTAGAGGGGATGTTTGGCTATTGTGTTTTTTTTTTTTTTTTCGAGAACAGCAAGAATAACTTGGTACTCAAAGAGTACCTGAGCGTTCGTGCTCATTGCCCATATATGACGTGACGGCTCAAAGGCGTCAGGCTGCCATCGGGATGAACATATATCGTATTAGGCTAAATAGGTTGTAATTATTTTTTTTTATATATATACTGCACTTTGCTTGAAACTCGTCCATACAATAGTCAGTGACAGGTTTAGAGTTCAGAGGAAGCTTCTGCCACCTCTTTCCACTTTAGCAGAGCGAATGCTGGAGAGGAGGTCACCTCCTTTCCTGCGTTCGCTCTGCTAAAGTGGAAAGAGGTGGCAGAAGCTTTCACTTGACTCTTAACCTGTCACCTACTATACAAAACAATAATTATAAATGTAATAAATTGTAAACTGCAATCATGAGATCTTAAACTGACCTGGGACTTGGCCATATTCAACAATCTAAAGAAAATAACACAAATACGGGGTGTTAAGTTTTAATTCTTACTGACATATATATATATATATATATATATATATATATATATATATATATATATATATATATATATATATATATATATAGTTTTGTAAATATTAATTGATGGACTTTCCCCGATTTTAACCCCAATAAAGAAATAGAAAAAAAAACAACCTGCTCGCAAAGAGAGCGCCGGAAGCCCTGCCCACAATGACGCTTGGAAGAGTGACGTAGCCGTTCCAGTCACGTGGTCACATTTTTCGTCGGCGCACCCACCAAAGAAACGCCGCCGAAATAATGACACCGTAATTGAATCGACTACGTCACTCGTTCAGGGTTCATTGTGGGCGAAGCTTGCTGGGCTCTTTTTGAGCGCAATTTTAAATCAGACTGAAAAACGCGAAAATATATCAATTAATATATATATATATATATATATATATATATATTTTTTTTTTTTTTTAAGAGGTTGACTGTTTGGCAAGTGTCGTCTTCACTATGTATTTACCAGGTTTGGCAAACATTATGTGGAGGGATAATTGTCTTGGTAAGTTTCCTAACTAACTAAAATCCGTTCATTAACTTTTTTTTTGTAAATGTTGGTTTTAGGGGTTATGTTACGATTGCACTAATTGATGGAAACTAATATTAGAGGCCTGACCAATCAAAATAATTTGCGAAAATGTAAAAGCTCTTAAGGTGTTAATTGATATATTTTCGCGTTTTTCAGTCTGATTTAAAAATTGCGCTCAAAAAGAGCCCAGCAAGCTTCGCCCACAATGAAGCTTGAACGAGTGACGTAGTCGATTCAATTACGGTGTCATTATTTCTGCGGCGTGTCTTTGGTGGGTGCGCCGACGAAAAATGTGACCACGTGACTGGAACGGCTACGTCACTCTTCCAAGCGTCATTGTGGGCAGGGCTTCCGGCGCTCTTTTTGCGAGCAGGTTTTTTTTTTTTTTTTCTATTTCTTTATTGGGGTTAAAATCGGGAAAGTCCATCAATTAATATTTACAAGACTATTTAATTTTTGCAAAACGTGTTTCAACTGGTTTGGCCTCTTAATAGGAATTCTATTCAATACCGAAATTGCTACATGACCCCTGAAACCAATTTTTCAAAAGTGAATGAACAGATTTGAGCTAAGTACCCAAATTAGCACGGCGATTATTCCTTCATCTAATCTCCGCCGAGCCTGATAAATACACGGTGAAGACGGTCGGCACTCGTCTAACTCTCACCCCCTTTAAAAAAAAAAAAAAAAAGCTCGAATTTGTATTAATTATTTTTGTATACCATACTCTATTTCGCCTTCCGATGCACCACAGCTTACGCTACCACCCAATCCAGCGCCGTAAACCTGTCACGTGGCTACGCGCTCCTTCCTAAGGTCACGTGACAATTGGATAATGAGGTGAGCCAGTCTCACGCATCTCATTATCGCTCCCCCGCCAATCAGATAGCGGCATCTGCCGGTGAGAACGACTATGGCAACGGAAGGGGCGTCGAAACAACGAAGATTTAAAAAGGAAACCGCATATACCTGTACGGGTGGATAGGTTTAGGAGCGTCCGGACTGAAGATCACCTCGCGGGTGGCGCTCAGCGCCGCCTCAGATGCACCTATGCCCAGTTGCATCAGCAAGAAACCATACACCACCGAGCGCGTAACGGATGCTCCGAGCATTTTGATGCGAAGTGACTCGAGAAAGGTCTGTCTACACGCTTTTTTCTCTCGGGGACAGGTTACGGTATGAACTACGGAAGCTCGCGATTAAAGCTTTATAAGGCTGCGTCGGTCTCCAGTGTCTGGCCCGATGACCCGGAAAGATGCGAAGGCCAAGGACATCTGTCACGTTACTTTCTGTTTGTTGGTCTTTGACTAAACGGGTTGTTTTGCAAACGACTGAATACAGCGAGCCGGAACACGCACGATGACGTATATTACGACACTACGATTGCACTCTGTTTCCCCGTACTTTTGATTCCGAGCGTAGTCAGGTCTTAAGAACACATCCACATCCAGGTGCACGCACACACACACGCACGCACATGCTGAAAGCGGAAGGTCACGGTCCATTCCCTGGAAACGATTGGTTTAGCCCATGATTGCAGACGTACAGAAACATGACGAACACAAGGACGTTGCACTTTTGACGCTGTTTGTTTGTTCCCATCGTCTCGTAGCTTATAAAGACGGAACAAAATTGAAAGTTTTAAGTTTCATTACGATTTTATTATTCGGAGCGTCGCCGATTAAAATTTTGGCCTGCTCTGCTCGTTACGGCGCGCCGAGCGCAGGAAAATGTGAAAGCAGGGAGGAAAAGAAAAAAAAAAAAAAGCATTCCCGAGTTTTTTCTACACTTGTGCCTATCTTAAATACTCTACTCGAGGTACTGTATTTCAAATACTTTTGGCAGCATTTTGGTATCTCGGAAATACATTTAGTCCAGAGTATTTGCTACTCAATCTGAATTACATTTCTCACCCTCTTGTAGTCAGTACCTCAAGTACATTTTGCAGACCTGAAAAAAAAAATCGTCTAACTGGGGATTGTTATTCACCAGGGCAAGGCTGAACGGATCGCAAACTTGGAGCAAAGCGACCGAACTAGAACAGGAAACAAGGCACGAGCAAAACACAGCCTCCAAATGCCGACAAAAGACCAAATGGATAGCCCCCAAGTACGCCTGCCTCTGTGCGTCCTATTGTCCACTTTTCTTTTTCTTTTCAAGTTCTTTTCAATGGCACGTCACGCATGGAGCTTGCGAAGTGCTGGTAACGCCCTCCGGATTTTACAGAGAGACCCCACCTTTTGTCTGGAGCACGGTTCCGGCAGCGGAGGATTGTGGTACAAACGCTAGTTACGAACACAATAAACCATTTTTTTTAAATCGAGGGGTTCCACTGCAAACTTGTGCTCGTTACTTCAGTGATGTAATGGATTACAATTACAAATTACCGAGCCTCAAATGTAAATGATCACCGTTACAAATTCCTTTCGCTGAAAGGTAACGGATTACTTTACTCGTTACGTTACAAATTACTTTCGGGTTACTTTTTTCGTACACTTATCAGGAAAACAAGAGAAACAATTTTTTTATGTTTTTCGAAAATGTTCTGCAACACAACTCGCCCGTATAATGGTAGTACTTGTAAAAATAAAATATTGCATTTAAGAGAAAGAGTGTAGGATCATTCTCATTCACCTGTAAGCTGACAAGGCACCGAAAGCTGCAATGACATCCGCCATCGCGCTAGCTTACGGCCTCCTGAAATGAATCGATCCCCGGAATTGCGCAAACAAAGCTAGCGGTGCGCGTTCTCAGTAGCAGCGTCTACCTCCGCTACGAGATTCGGAGCTAAAGAAGCGATCTACGAAAGCCCCCTTTTGACTCGGGTGTTTCGCCTGTTATTCACGAGAAAAGAAAAAATGGTTCTGACGTCACAATGTATAGCAATGCAGAAAGCAGGTGTCCCAGCTTACCTTGATGTGTTTCCGTGGCTTTAGAGTTTGATGTTCTTGCTGATAACACTGTGTGTGTGTGTTTATTTTTTTTTTTTTTTTGGCAAGCAAAGTATGCACTGAAACTGTAGGTTTCCGTTCTCTTTAATGCCCGGAAGTTTGTACACCTCATTAAAAGATGGTCATGGAGACGACGGACACTCCATGACCGAAAACTCGGCCAGTCAGAAAAGAAGGGGCGTTTACGGGTTATCGATCGTTCATCGGTTCTCACTTTCATGCTAATATTCGTGGACGCCAGGGGGGGGGGGGGGGGGGGGGGGGGGGGGCATAGAGAGCAAGAGAAGCGGGGCCATCGGTCTCATAAAACAATAGAGGATCAAACCACTTTTACGCGTTCTCTTTCTCTCTCTGTCAGAACTACTTAGATGGCCTGACACCCCCCCCCCCCCCCCCCAATCCCCTTTTATGTTGACAGCTGACTGTAAAGTGAGGAGTGGACTCCACTACCATGCCCCTACAAGTAAAGCGCGAAACACATGTACGACGAAACTGTCCGATCCGACGTCCGACCGCGCAATACGACGGTCGGAGGCGAGGGTTTTCAACGCTCTCCGATGCTAGGAAAACCCTCTCCCCCCTAAGGTCATTCCGGCAGTCCACTCGTCGGATCGGAAGGTTTCGTCGTACATGTGTTTCGCGCTTAAATCAAAATAATTATTATCCGTACCCTTGAAGAGGATGCTCTTAGCCTCTCGCCTGGGCGCTTTTCTGCCGTGCCTCGAGGGCGTGCTAGAATAAATTAGCGCACATCAAAGACAAAGAGAATTTGACTCTCCCGCGCGAGGCTACATCGTCTGTTACTCGAGTTGTAAACCCGCGAATCGAGGGGGTCGGACCCGCGTTTGATGTCTGCGCAGGTGGCGGGAGACGTCGAAGAAGTTGGAAAGGGTGAAACGGAGTAAAAGAAAAAAAAAAGCAAATAAACACGAAGAGCTTTCTTCTGCCCGGGAGAAGAAAAATAAAACACGATGAAAGGCGACAGAGAGCCCACTCCGCGTTGTCTTGCTTGATCTTTGTCTTTCATATATTTGTACATGCCTGGCCCGTTTTTCTAGCGGTTCTAGTGACCGCTCATTAAAAAAAAATGTGCTTTCTTTTCTGCTATTCTTTTCTTCCTGGTGTTTTCTATTTTGTTTCTCTTTGTGCTGCTGAATGTTCTGATCGTATTGCTCTGGTTACTGTATTGTGCTCATATTTTTAAACAGTAACTAGTAATTAAAGTAGTCCGTTACCAACATTTTGTAGCGAAATTACATTACAAATTACTTTCGGAAAAAAAGTAAGGCGGCAATTCGAAAATTACTTGCAAAAGTAATGGAACTGGAACCCAAGTCTGGGTTCCAGTATGAAAATGCTCGAACACGTTTTCATGCGAGCACAGGCACTCCCTGAGTCAAAGAAGCTATATCCTGCTGGAGAGCTTTATTGAGCTGCAGTGACCTGTAATGAGCTTCCCCAGAACTCTTTGTGTTCCTATTTCTGGTGGCTTAACTTTTTTTTCTGAAGCTCGTTTCAAATGCGTTTATTTCATCTCCTTCCAAATGCGCGCATTGTTTCGTCCTCAAAATCCTCAAACCCAGCTTTCCCCCACATAGAGTCATTTATGAACTAGAGGATTCTGATTCTGAAATCTTGACTTTCTTCATCTCAGTGTCTCACAAATGGTTTGAATTGGTGCAGAAGGGGGGCAGGGGGAAATGGTTTAAAAGCGGTTTCGTGGACAGTCTTCTGTGTCTCAAGTGTTTCCAGCTTGACCTTCCTAATATAAATATATACCAGTCTAAGATACACGTGCTTTTTCTCGTTTTTGACTCGGGCGACAAGGTAGTAGCTCTTGATTGTTAATCAGCGACCGAGGCTCATTAACTCGAGTAGATATTTCTCCTGAGCGTGGACGTGTGTCGTTCACTCGCCGTGCTCATCAACAAGTAGGCCCGGCCTGCCTAATCAACTTCTAGTTCGGCTGTTATGGATAAGCAATGCCGGCCTTCATGCCAAGTCCCCCGAATCGCGGCGGGCCATTTAACAAACTTATTGCAAAATATGTCATGTGCCGAGCCTTTCGTCAAAAGCACGGCAAGCGCCATGTCTAGAATACACGAGTCCCGTTTTGCTCCTAAAATATTTCGGCACGCATTATGTTAAATATCCCAAATTACTTCAGAATAAACTTCATTTGCAGCAGCTCAGGCGCATTTTGGAGGTCATAAATATCGCAGCAAAATCGGATTTTCAGAGAAGTTATTACAAATAGAGCGCCCCCTTCCTGACTTTTAGGGCACAGCTCTTAGGCACCCGTTTCCGGCTTCAGAGGCATCGCTCTCGGCGTAACCGTGAGGTCACGTGACCCCCCCCCCCCCCCCGTGAGGTCACGTGGCCCCCGTGGTGGAGTAGGAGGCAGGATGACGAGGTGAGGGGGAGGGTGGAGGGAGGAGGGGTACACCCTCCCCTCAGTACCCTTCCCTCCTCCTCCTCAAGAGATGCGCCCTAATACGGCGTTACAGGGAGTTGTATTACGGCTCTCATTTTGTATTATTAGATTACCAGCTTGCAAAACTTGCCAAGTTTCTTCGGACGTAATTCAATAACTTTTTCGATGTACTCTACTAAAGATAGTTCGTACAAAAAGTAACTGAAAGGCTACTCTATATACATTTTTAAATTGGTATTTAGTATCTTATCTTAAATAATTTTGTTGAATATTTGGCACAACACTGCTTAATTCACAGTATTGGCGACGTGCGCTATCAAAAGCGTCGCTCTGGTCGGCCTGCCACGATTGGCAGAATGCTGACTATGACGTCAGCAAAGGATTTCCCATCGACGGAACTAAAAGGAATTTAAGAACTTTAATCTTGACAGTGTTGGCAGTGTTGCTTTGAGAGCAAAAGGATTTCGAGTTTCCGCGATGCTAATTACAAACACCATCGAACTCGTTGTTCGCAAGAGTGTGACGTCATGAGAGGACACGATAGGAGGGCGCTACGAAAACATCTCGCGGCTAATAGTCGGGGGGATCGGTGGCCGAGTGGGCTAGCGCACACCAGCTCGGAGCACGTAGAGTCAAAGCTCGCGCTGCAGAACCCTGGGACCCTGGGTTTAATCCCCATCCCTGCCCGTTTCGATCTGGATGAGCATCGTACCGGCGTGCGGTCGTG